TGACTGCTATGGATCCTTTCTCTAGAAGAAATGCACATATCTATGTACAAAAAAATTTCAAAATAATTTCAGGGCAATCATGGACATCTGCTCTCTCTCCCCCTTTCATAGCTCATCTAGGAACCATACATTCTAGATTAAGAAATTCCTAGGGTTAGCCATGGCTGGTAGCTCAGTTGGTTAGAGCGTCGTCCCAATACAAGGCTGGGTGTTTAATCTCCAGTCAGGGCACATACAAGAAGCAACCAATGAATGAATAAATAAGTGAAACACCAAATTGATGTTTCTCTCTCTCTCTCTCAAAAAAAGAAAGAAATGTAAATATATATTATTACATTTCTAGTTTTTTGTTGTCATCTTACAAAAAGCACATTTCTTTCATTTACCTCAAACTCTTTCAGTACACTAAGGAAAAGGGTCCCTTCTTATAGAAGGTGTAAAAAAGAATTTATCTATATAGTTTTAGATTCACTTATAAATGAGATATTTTGCAATTATCATAAAAAATGCATCTTTATAGCAAAAGATAATTTTAAAGAAGGTATGTTTAAAAGTACTGATGGACTAGTCACTGCGGGTCAAGGACTGTGGGAGAGACAGTGACCTGAAGAGGTCACACTGTGGTGCAGAGCACACACCACACTGGGTGCACTGGAGTTCCGTCCCTGCCTCTGTGTATGTGGATGGAGATGGTGGTGGGTGGAATGGGCAGAGAGCAGCTGTAAATGCTGCAGAGGAAGAAAAGAAACCTTGATTCATTATGTAAGAACCTTTGGCTTTATTACGGTCATATACACTGTTAGCCTCCCATCCTGTTATCAGATTACTCAGAAGACTGATAATTCCCTCTAGATAAGCAGTCGCTGATTACAGGTGAGGAGTAAAGCAATGCTTCAACAATAAATGCTTGAAATGCTTAAACTATATCCCTGCAGTATGAGGGAGCGGCACCCATCTAAATGTCACTTTTTTTTTTTTATTATCCTCACCTGAGAACATTTTTGCACTTATCTTCAGATACAGTGGGAGGGAGAGAGGGAGAGAAACATCGATGTGAGAGAGACAGACACATAGAGTGGTCGCCACCCACACAACCCCAACCAGGGCCGGGGACAAACTGCAACTGAGGTGCATGCCCTTAGTGGGAACTGAATCCTGGACAATCTGGTCCACAGGCCAACGCTCTTAACTGCTGAGCAAAACTGGCCAGGGCCATTTCTTTTTTTTAAATTGATTTTTTAGAGAGAGAGGAAGGTAGAGGGAGAGAAAGATAGAAACAACGATGAGAGAGAACATCGACTGGCCGCCTCCTGCATGCCCCCTACTGGGGATTGGGCCCACAACATGGCTATGTGCCCTGACTGGGAATCGAACCAGCAATCTCTTGGTGCATGAGTAGGTGCTCAACCACTGAGCCACACTGGGATGGCTATATGCCCTTTCTAAGATCCAAGATGTAAATGTTTATTTCACCCGAGTGATGTTTTTCAGATGACTATCACATATATGTTGCATCTTAAATTCTGGAGACCTCAAAATTGATCTGGTACAAATGTCTACTCAAAGAAGGAACCCCCTTTGTAACACTCCTGGCAACCACGGGCTTTGTTTGGATACCCGTTAGCAGCAGCAGAATTTATTTGTAATCAACAATAATGATTGGAAACTGCTTCCTCTAGGTGAATCAAAGCCTCCTTACATTTTTCAACCATTTCTCTAAGCTTTGGCTTCTGCAGGAAGGCAGGGTCATTCTATTCTTTCTCCCGTATCATTCAAGGATTTGAAAACAGCTCTCATTTATATTTCTGAATTCATCTCCAGTGGGAACTTCCCTAATTTTTTTATTTCTCTTGAAAAGTTCAAGGTCATCACCCTCCTGTTCTTACTCTTCCAAACACTGTTATACTTGGCCAGTCCACTTAAAATGTGACACCTAGACTAGAACATGATATTCTAGCTGTGATTGATCTTACCTCATCGGAGTCCAGAGGGATTATTCTTTTGATCTGGGTATATCCTTCCTTCACACATTCTTATAAGGCTTCCGTTCTCTCCTGTTGCCCTCCCCACGTGTGCTGGACTATGGGTGTCTATGGGAATTTGATCCAATAAAATTGCCAGGTGTTTCTTCTGAGTACCACTACCAACTCAGGTTTCCCCTCCTTCTGCTTTGGCAATAGATTGTGTCCAACTTCATCTTAAATTGGTCTCAGCACTAAAATAATTTTAAATGATGATAATGTTATTATTGCCCGGCCAGTGTGGTTCAGTGGTTGAGCATCGACCCAAGTACCAAGAAGTCACTGGTTTGAATCTGGGTCAGGGCATGTGCCCAAGTTGTGGGCCCAATCCCCAGTGGGGGGCATGCAGGAGGTGGCCAATCAATGTTCTCTCTCATCGATGTTTCTATCTCTTTCTCCCTCTCTCTCTAAGATCAATAAAAGGAAAAAAATAATGTTGTCATATTTAACCATTTCTGCTGTTACCTGTAAATTTGATAATACCATCTATGGAGTTTCTTGTGTCTTCACCCAAAGGACTAGAAATTTCCATTTTAATGTGAATCATTATTCAACTCTCTTATGTTGTTTCAGTAGCTAGGAATCCGCCTGGCTCATGATTACCCAGTCACATCCTCATCTTAGCCACAAAGATGTCAATAGAGACATCAAGTGTCTTTTTAATTTTTTAATAAGTTTATATTTTAGATAGGAAGGGAGAGATAGAAACATTGATGTGAGAGAGAAACATGATTGGCTGCCTCCTGCACGCCCCCTACTGGGGATGAAGCCCACAACCTGGGCATGTGCCCTGACCAGGAATCAAACCAGGACCTCTCAGTTCATGGGATGACATTTAATTCACTGAGCCACACAGGCCAGGCTCAAATGTCCTTTTCTTTTTTTAAAATATGTTTTTATTAGTTTTTAGAGAGGGAGGAAGGGGGAGGGTAAGAGAAACATCCATGGGAGAGAAACATCGACCCTGCATGCCCCCTACTGGGGATCAAACCAGTGACCTCTTGGTGCATGGAATGCTGCTCAACCAACACAGGCCAGGCTCAAGTGTTGTTTTGGAGTCAGTGAACATTGTTCCTTTAAACCAGTCTAAGCCATAGTTTCTCTGATGACAAATGCTAGAGACATTTTATTCAGGTAGTGGATATCCAGGTGAGCCTCCAGGTGCAATGAAATAAGCACCTAAACTGGGTGTCAGCTCATGTGAGCAGAGATAAGACATCTTGTTACAGTCACTTCTTCCCTTTCCTTATAACCATATAGAGGACCAGATGCATTGGACCTGTATTTTATCAGCAAAGGAAACAAGGTAAATGCAGTAATCAAAAACTCAAGAATTACTCACTGGAGAGGGGTGTGTGAGCAACAGGTCCTGGCCAGCTGGCTCAGTGGGTTAGAGCACCGTCCCAATACATCAAGGTCGTGGGTTTCATCCCCAGTCAGGGCAAATACAAGGAGCAACCAACGAATGCATAAGTAGAACAAATTGGTGTTTCTCTCTCCCTCTCAAAATATAATAAAATAAAATAAAATAATAATAAGATAGAATTTTATCTACTTTTGCCTCTTACACAATGCAGTTTTTTTTTATCCTCATCTGAGGACATTTTTCAATATTTTGTTCAGGGAGGGAGAGAGAGAGAGAAACATCGACACAAGAGAGACACATCAGAGACACATCGACTGATTGCCACCCACACACCCAACCAGGGCCGAGGACAGACTGCAACCGAGGTACGCGCCCCTAGCGGGAACTGAACCCGGGTCGCGCTGGACTGCAGGTCGACGCTGTAACTGCTGAGCCAAACCGGCCAAGGCCACAATGCAGTTTGTCAAGTCTTAGTTATTTAGGTAATAAGCAATGTTTGTATTATAGAAAAAATTCTGTATTAGGTGGCTTAACATCAAGACTTTTCTATCTCCTCATTGTACCATCTTAAAATTAAACCTTTAGAAATCAGGCTTACTATAGGTTAATACAAAATGTTTAAGAGCTGGCCCTGGCCGGGTGGCGCAGTTCAGTGGAACGTTGTTCCGTACACCAAAAGAGGTTGCAGGTTTAATTCCAGGTCAGGGCACATACCTAGGTTGTGGGTTCGATCCTTGGTCGAGGCACATATGGGAGGCAAATGATGTACATTTCTCTCTCATGTTCATGTTTCTCTCTATATATACCCACTCCTCTCTCTCTCAAAAAAATCGATAAAAATATATCCTCAGGCCCTGGCTGGCGTGGCTCAGTCGGTTGGGTGTCATCCCGTGAACTGAAAGGTTGTCAGTTTGATTCCTGATCAGGGTACATGCCTGGGTTGTGGGCATGATCCTCATAGGGGGGGCATGTAGGAGGCGCACATTGATGTTTCACTCTCACATTGATATTTCTCTCCTTTCCTCTGTAAAAGTCAATTTAAAAATATTTTAAAAACAAACAAACAAAAAACATCCTTGGTTGAGGATTTAAAAAAAATGTTTAAGAACTGGCCCTTTGCAACATAATGATGTCCCCAAAACCTGAAGCAGGCTTAAATCTCCTGGATCAATAACTAAGAGAGACTTTTTTATGTGTGGCTCAGTCTATAACTGAAGTGTAGGCTGTGTCATGACAAATGACAATTTTTATAGTTACCCACCATTCAGAGTGCCCTGTGGACACTCTATGCTCTGATCTGGAAAAAAAGGACAAGCAGGTGATGGTCACATTCTAAAAGGCTTTTAAAAAATAAGTCCTTAGTTCTGAATTATGCTAGAGAATATATATTTTTTTTGGTGAGAATTTGATTTTGTTGCTGTTCTTGGGTAGATTTTAAATATTAGAAGTGACCTTAAATGAAAAGAACACCGTAGCACTTTATTTCTCTTAAGCACTTCGTTTTAACATTAATGTATGAAAGAAGTGTGAGCTCAATCTCGTGGACAATAATGCAACTTTATTGGGTGCAGACTTCTTCACACCAAGTATTAGTTTTTCCATGTGAAGCAAGATTTAAAAGTTATGATAAAGTTATTGTTGAGGAAACACACTGGGCAATAGAAAACGCTGAAGAGAGTTTTTGTCTGAAACTGGAAAACAGCACAGATCTGGGGGAAACAAGAAAAGTACCACAGGTTGCTAAGACCATAAAAACCAGCTTTGGAGACCAGAGGCGGTGACACTGACTGACTGTGGGAGTGAAAAGGGCCAGGCAGTTGTCCCCACAGGGAGGGTAGGATTTCATGTGGATGTGTACGGTATTTACTTGGCAGTAATAATCTTGGAATTTTCTTCTGTGCCTCTAAAGCTCTCAACTTTTCCTGCTGTCTATAATTTTATTATGCAGCATAATAATTTTTATTTAGCACAAGGTCCATTTGGACTAGACAACAGAAAGTCTCTAATTCTGTCACTGGCTGGTGAAGTCATATCTCAGCAGCACAGTGGGAGGAATGGAAGACTTAGGCAGAGTACATTCAAAGTTTGGTTTTTTCATTTAAAAAGTTTTATTGTCCTGTTGTGGTTTGCTTATTGAGTAGACTCCTAGAGGAAAAATAAATACTGTGAGTTTACTGGTCTGCTACAGAATTGGAATTTAGGCCCCTATTTTGTTGAGTGATCCCAAGGGTCACTGAAAATAGAAATCACCAGACAAAACCAACTACTGAAGGGCCCATCCCCTGGCGAGTGTGACACACACCTGACACTTGGGAGCAGCTGTGCTGAAACTCCTCCGCCCAGCGCCCCTCTTCCCCGGGAGCCCCGAACTCCTTCGCGCCACGCCAGCTTCAGTGCTCAGTGGCCATCGGGGACAGGTGCGCCAGCCACCTGGGGGAGGTGGGCAGTGAAGGAGGCAGAGCCCACCCCCTTGTTAGAAACGTGAGGACAGAAGCATTTCCTTGCTGCAGTGCCCTCCTCGGGAGCTACGCCAAAGGCTGACATGCTGACGTGAGCACGAACCTCTGCTACGAGACTTCGAATCCTCTAACACAACCCACAGAAACTCCCGACAGACAGGAGGCTAGTTAGAATCCATAACTGTCTGGTCTTCTCTGGCTGGACTTTGGACGGAAAAGACAAACCCAAATGGAGGAACATCATTTAAGTGGGGCAGAGAGTGAGAACCGCGAGGTCTGAAACACAGAGATAAATAAATGCATGCCGGAGGCTGCTCCCCTGGCCCTGAGCTCTGGAGGCAGAGAGGTCTCAGTTTGTTGTGATACGAGGAGTCAAAGCTGAGGCAGGGCTCCAAGCAAATGTTCACCAGGGGAATGTGGTGATTCGCTTACGTCCAGAAATCCCAAGTAAAAAACTGTAAGATAAGTAGGAGCAAATGATATAATGTACATGATTCAGTTTAAAAATTCTGAGCCCCCTTACATTATATTATTCAGAGTACAAGAGTAAAAAATCAAATTACATTTGTATGAAACGTTTATAAAAAAGAAATCAAATCTATTTTTATGAAATTTTATAGTACAATTATTTTCGAATGGGTCTTTCCTTAGGTCACCGTATTTATAATTCCATTTACATCTTTATAATTTTCCAAATCAAAAAACAAAAAGCGGTCGATAGAAATCTACATTTTCATTTGCAAAACTCCCTTCAGTTTCCAGGCCGGTAACACAGGCGCTGCCGACTTGCCCTCCAGACATGGACTGCTCCCAAAGAGCCCGGCTTACGGAGCGTGCAGGCCTCTGCTCATTAGGAACGCTTTTTGGTTTGGCTCACGTTTCAGGAAATTCTGGAGCATGTCCATGCCGTCCAGAGATCCCCCAGGTTTCAGGATTAGATTTCTGTATTTCATTCCAACCTAATAAAATAAAACATCATGCCTAACAATTCATGGTCATAACAATTTTCCAAACTTCTAGATACAAAAGAGAAAGGGGTAGGAGTGAAAAAAAGGGGGGGAGGGGACTTTTAGCTCTACTCCGTCTGGGGCAGCAGCTCCGTGGTATTTATTTATTTTGGTAGCTAAGAGATCTGGAGCTCAGACCTCTGGTCTTCTACACTTCCCTTTATTACTGTCTTGTCTCCTTTGAGTCTCAGCAGTGAATTGACAATATGAACAGACAGATAAACAAAAAACAGCCAGACGGGCCCTGGCCAGGTGGCTCAGTTGGTTAAAGCACTGTCCTGACGCACCAAGGTTGTGTGTGGGCACATACCTGCTCTCCGGTCAGGGCACATACAAGTAAGCGACCAATGAATGCATAAATAACTGAAACAACAAATCCTCAATTCTCTCTCTCTCTCTCCAAAAATCATTAAGTAACACATTTTTTAAGATTGCCAGATGAAATATGTAACAGGTTCCTATTTGTTACCACCTCTCAAATGCAATTTTTAAAGGATTAGTAAAACAAGTGTTCACGAAGGCCATAAGCAGGGGTTCTGTGTACCTGGAAATGGTGACACAGCTCCTGCCAGCTGGCTCCTGCTCTGTTTTTATAAGGGGCTCATAAACACCCCTATTCCTTGTGGACAAGGGGGGGCAGGAGTAGCACATGTCCCATGGGGTAGATCAGACATTTCTGTAGGCCCAGCACTGGGACTGAGGACCTTTGTAAAGTTTTCTTTGGGGGCCAGATCTGTAATTTTAAAATGCATCACAGTTCTGGCCCTGACATTGTAGCTCAGTTGGTTAGCATGTCGTCCTGAAATGCCAAGGTTGTGGGTTCGAGCCCTAGTCAGAGTACGTATAAGAATCAACCAAACAATGCATAAATAAGTAGAACAACAAATTGATGTTTCTCTCTCAAATAAAAAATAAAACAATTTCAAAAACTCAAAATATATCACAATTCCTCTGCCTTTATTTACATAGATGAGCAGATCAAGTGAAAGAAAAGAACTGGAACTCAATATTCACATTATTCAATATTTTCACTGTCCTTTTAGGGAAGCAAGGCAAGACAGTTCAATGAAGCATAATTCTAAATAAACACATAAAACCACAGTTCACAGAATAATGGTTTTATATTTATATCCATTAAATAATCTGATCAATAGGACCAAGAGTCTTTTTGAGTACAAGAATAGCTAGACAAGTAATAATAATAATTATTATAATAATAGCCAGACAATTTCCAGAGACAAAAGTAATTTAACTTTTTACTTATTACAATGATTCTGGGCCTGGCCGGTGTGGCTCAGTGGTTGAGCATTGACCCATATACCAAAAGGTCATTGTTTCAATTCCCGGTCAGGGCACATGCTCAGGTTGTGAGCCTGATGCCCAGTGAGGGACATGCAGGTGGCGGCCAATCGATGTTCTCTCTCATCAATGTTTCTCCCTCTCCCTCTCCTTTCCTCCCTCTCTCAAAATCAATAAAGAAAAAAAACAGCAACAAAACACAATGATTCTTCTTGGTACAACCATGAGAGATAAGTCTAGCCAGACTGTTAAGGAAAATAAAATGTGGATAAATGAAAATAAAATGTAGATACAAAACTATTTAATGTCTTAGTGGGTCATAAAATTAAAACTTTTGGGGTTATCTTTTGGTTATAAAGAAACCATAAACTTAGCCCTGGCCAGTTTGGCTCAGCAGTTAGAGCGTTGGCCCATGGACCAGAGAGTCCTGGGTTCGGTTCCCGCTAAGGGCACGTACCTTGGTTGTGGTTTGTCCCTGGTCCTGGTTGGGGTCATGTGGGTGGCAGCCAGTCGATGTGTCTCTCTCACATCAATGTTTCTCTCTCTCTCTTCCCCCTCCCCACCCTCCCACTCTATCTGAAGATAAAAAAATGCAAAATGATATCCTTAGGTGAAGATAAAAAAAAAAAGAAACCATCAACTTATTAATCATCTACAGGCTAACATCTAATTTTGCAGTCTGGGCCCTACACAGGAATATATAACTAGTCAAACAAAGTTACCTTCTTATAAGCTCTAGGGCAACACTGTCCAATACAAATACAATGTGAGCCACATATATAACTTTAAATTGTCTAATAATCACATTTTAAAAAGCAAAAAGAATATAGGTGAGGCTAATTTTAATAAAATACTTTATTTAAGCCAGTATATCTACAGTATCATTTCTACATGTATCAATATAAAAAATTGTTAAGATTTTTTGTCTTAAGTCCTTAAAATCTAGTGTTTTTTACATTCACAGCGCATCTCAATTTAATGCTGCAGCTGCACTAGCCGCACCTCAATCTAGATCCTAAAATGGGAGTGACTGTCATAGAATTTATTATTTTAAGCAGCAGCAGATCAGAGCTCCCGAGCCTACCCACAGCTTCCCTCCCTACCCTCCATTCATTCATTGCCCAAGGTACCTAAATCTGACCAGTGTTAAATTAGGGAGGGGGAGAGAGGCAAAGACAGACTTAGTCTCTGGGTTAGCAGTATAGGGAGAAGTTAGAAAATATGAGTTAAATTTATCTGCAGACTAATAAAAATATTTAATCCTCTTATTATGGGAAATTTAAAAATATATACTCAGAGCAAAAAAAAAAAAAAAACAAAACAGTATAATGAACCCTCATGTACCTATCCTCCAATGTCAATAATTTTAATACTTATCAGCAGAAAATATTATTATTTTACACTTTCACCTCCACATGGCAATTTGGCATTCCAAGGTAAAGTGGAAAATCAGGCCTCTCTCTGCAGAAACTCTTAATGCTCACTATCTAAGAATCTTTTATTTATTAAAAAGACATATTTCGTTTCACAAATATTATAGAAACATTTGTGAAAATCTAAATGAAGTAAAAAATAAATCACCCCAAATGTTGATATCTTACAAAATATTCTCATCTTGTACAGAGAACCCTAGTTTAGGTGGTAACAAAACAACAAAAACCAACAAAACAAAACAGCAAGCGTCCAGTGAGCCGGGCGAGGAGCCGGCTCGGGCCTCCTCCGACCGGTGAAGCCATTGCGGAGCACGGCGCTGTTTAGTCTCACACTGTGACTCAGTAAGTACAGCGCTGGTCCTCCCTGCTCAGAGCTCTAAACAAGTTGATTCAATTTCCTGAATTACAGAGCAATGGTCTTTTAATAGTTTCATTTCCTTTGCAATGAAGTTTGGAGAAGAGTTTAAGAGTCGTCTTGGTAATAGGATCTTGCTTTTCTCAAAAAAAGAAAGCTAAGTGAATTTTTGCATTTTAGGAAGGTACTGGGCCTTCTGGGTGAGAGCACACGGTCTGGGACACATGCCACAGGTGGGAGGAGTCTTCTCCAGAGCTGTTCTACTTTGTTTACATAGTAAAGAAGCCTCACCTGTGGGGGAAACAGGAAGAGAAGCCCTAAGACAATCACTAACATTTTTCTTTTCTTTTCTGGTACGTGCCCCTAGCAGGAACCAAACCCAGGTCTCTGGTCCACAGGCTGATGCTCCGACTGCTGAGCCAAACCGGCCGGGGCACTAACGTTTTTCATGCTAAGAAATCCTACAGGAGAATCTGCATATAGTAAGAGCACCTAAGAAAGAAAGTCACCATCAGTCACCTCTGTGGTTTTCCATTCTGGAAGTGTATTTTTTGGCAAGATGCTTTAACCAACTGAGCTACACGGCCAGATCCAAAGATGTTTTCTTTCTTTCTTTTCTTTTTTAAACATTTAAAAAAATTTATTTTTTAGAGGAAGGGAGGGAGAGAGGGAGAAAGAAATGGAGAGATAAGAGAAACATCAATTGGTTGCCCCTCCCACATGCCCTGATGGGAGATGGAACCCAAAACCTGGGTATGTGTCCTGACCGGGAACAGAACCCACCACCTCCTGGTGAATAGGATGATGCTCCAACCTCCTGAGCCACACCAGCCAGGGCGCCAAGGATGTTTTTTAAAGTCAGATCAGGAGTTTTGGTGTCAGGCCAGGTTTGACGCTTGGCTTTACCCGCAGCTGTGTGACCTTGGGCCTTGGTTTCCTTACCTGCACAGTGGGAACATGCCTACCTCGCACAGTTTATGCGGAATCAGAGATGGGTTTAGGACGCTGCCTGGTCCATACTATAATGTTGGGCGTACAGTATTCAGTAAACCTCAGTGCCACCTGTCACTCCTCCTTCCCTTTGCCTCCCGCTCACACTGCCCCTAAGTTCAGTTTCTCATGTAAAGCTCAGGGAAACAAAGGCAGTAGTGGTTGGCATTTCCTTCACATTAGTTCTGTGTCTTACTAAAGATGAAAAGAAAAAAAAAAGGCACAACAGACTTTATCTCCATTATCATTATGAACTAGAATATATAATTCAGTAGGAATATTAAGTAGGTACGTTTTATCTAAGAACACATACCCTTTGTTTGAGGTGATGCTTTAAGAGCAGTCATAATGACCTGAATGAAGGATGTCCACTCTCTATCAGGAATGAGAATATTACATAAATGGGAAACAGATCGGGCCTCCTGCTACCTCTGGCATCTCTGAAGCAACACATACAAGCTCCCACTGCCTTCAAACCTCCCTCCCTCTCTTTCTCCTTCTCATTATGACGGACTCTGGGGAGTGGAGCCAGGCTTGGCTCCTGCCTACTCTGAGGAACAGGCATCAGGGCAGTGTCCACCGAAGGACAGGAATGGTGATCAGGCACGAATCGGGCTCAGCACCTGCTTTCAAAGTGGACTTTGAAATCTTTCCTTCTACAGCGTGTTGGCAAGCTCCTTCCCAACAGTACACCCTTTGTTTGCTAATAGGGTGGGGAGACTGTAGGTAGAGAAAAAATACCTTTGACAACAACAAAGAAGGAGAGTGAGTGAAAGACTGGTAGTCAGGGACATAAAAACAAGAACAGGGGTAGGAATCTTCACTTGACTAGAGTGCCCTTCTGAAAACCTTAAGCAAAGTTTCAAATTGTGAGG